TATATATATATATCATCAAAGAAAGGCGAATACAGTGTTCGAATGAAGGATATAAATAGCATAGCTCTCAACGAATTTTGCCTATAAATAAGGAAATTGTGTAATACATTTGACACTGACAGGATTCGAACCTGCGACAACTCGCTGTCAAGGCGAGCGTCATAACCATTAGACCTCATAGGCTTCATGGTTGAATAGATTCAAATAACGTCAGATACACTCCATTACACAATAGGTACGACTGGAAACAAATAATAGCATATAATATAAATAGTATATAATATAAAAAACACTGTTAAATTATATATAAATCATCATCACAAAAAAGTTAAATGCAGTGTTCTAATAATGTTTAGAACAAAAATGAATTTGCTTGATTCATAAAAGCCTTGTTTGCGTAGTAACTTTCACCTAAAAAATAAAAAGATAAACTAAATTTACACGTTCCATTAGGCTGTATCCTACATCTTCTGCTACTGCACATTGGTACATGAATTTATCACATTCACAAGATTTGAATACCTTCTTTCCTTCAAGAATAATTTTTCCATAATTCGATGCAACAGACTTTTAGGAATTATGAAACGTTTGTTTCACTGCCTACAAATATCTTTATTCAAGCTTATGTTTCATTATTTTGTCCACATCTTGAGCCCTATGCCTTTGCCATTGATCCCTACAGAGTGGGTGTTGCCAAATGCTGGAACGTGTGCCCCGTCGAGCAGCGCCTGCTTCATAATTTGTAAAGACTTTGGGCAAAGATATTAAAATAACAACCGCCATATTAAAAATAGGTTCCCAGCGGCCGCGAGAGCGTGTGTCAATGCTATACTGCCATTTGATTTAAGTTACTATTGTTAATGTTATAGGCCTAAGTAAACTGACACATTCAGTAGGCCTATATAAAATGAATGTTTTATAATTCATTTACATTTTATTTATATTTCATTTTTTTAAATCTTTTTTTATATTCATTTATTTATTTATTTTATTTTTTTTAATCATTTATGTTAATTAGGCCTAAGTATAAGTAAGCTGAAATTCACATATAAAGTGAATTTATGTTGGCAATTTATTATGCATTCATTAGGTTGACAAATACCCACTCATTCTCTCTCTCTTAGACTTCATTATTTGCCAAGAGAGTTTCCTAAGATTTTTGTCACTGCTGTATATATTTGTACTAGTTTACCTCAGCTAACGTGGCAATCGCAGCAGATTACATATATGACTTAGTAAGTGACATGGAGAACATCTATTGTTAAGTCTATTAGAGAGTGGTCCCAGGTAAATATTGAAACGTTGAGAAACTGTTTTGAGTCAACAAATTGGAATATTTTTATGGATGGAGCTACAATTAGAGAAGCGATTGACGCTTATTTCGGGTTACACCAATTTTTGTGTCGGAACTATAATAAAAGAGAGAACAAAACTGTATCCCAATAATAAGCCGTGGCTAAATAGTAAAATCAAGAAAATAGTGCATAAAAAGCAAAAACTTGATGATAACAGAGTTAGAAGACAAGTGCAGAAAGAATTAAAAAGGGAAGTTACTCGCAGAAGAGACAGTACGGACGGATGATGGAGGACAAATTTAAATTTAGAGACAGCAGGAGAGTATGCGTAAAATGACGGGATACGATAAAAGAATGGGTAATAATGTGGATACATATTATTTCTAAGCAAATGGCAAGTGATCTAAACTCTTTCTATCAGCGTTTTGATGGCAAGAATTTCAGTGTGGCTAGACAGCAAATTGAAAACAATATAAAGGGTAGCAAATGTCATGATAACCGGTTAGTTATTGATAAATCGGATGTCAGGCATGTTTTCAGAAAAATAAATACTGTACTAAAAAAGCAACAGGTCCGCATGGGGTAAGTGGAAATGTGTTAAAGGAATGCAATGAGCAACTATCCGATGTGTTTTCGTAAATATTTAACTGGTCTCTCAACTCACATGAAGTGCCCAGAATCTGGAAAAAAATATTTAATTCATCCTCTGCCGAAACTTAACAGACCGAAAACATTGAAAGATTAATAGACTCCTTACTCTCACTGCCATACCAATGAAATGTCTTGAGAAAATGGTTAAGAACGAAGTTTTAACTGAGGCTGAAAGTAAATTAGATCCCTGCCAATTTGCATACCGCCCTAAAAGAGGAGTAAGATGCGGTGACTACTTTTATACATAATGTTCTTGATCACGTTGAGAGGCCAAATTCTCACGCTGGAGTTTTATTTCTTGATTTTTCCTCTGCTTTTAATACCTTGCAACTTCATGTTTTAATGGAGAAAATGATTGTTTTAGGAATCATTCCATCCCTCATTTTATGGATTAATAACTTTTTTAAAGATAGGGAGCAATTTGTCCGTTTTTAACAGAACATATCTGGAACACGTTTGTGCAATACTGGTGCACCCCAGGGTTGTATTCTTTCACTAATTTTATTCTCTTTATACAATAATGATTTTAACTGTTTTAGTGATCAAATTTTAACCAAATGTTTTACTGTGAAACATGCTGATGACATCTGTCTGGTTGGCCTTGTAAAACAAAATGAAACTATGTCATATTTTGAGAATGTCAGTTATTTCTCATCATGGTGTACAGATAATTATCTTAGATTAAATGTTAAGAAGACTAAGGAAATTATAATCGACTTTAGAAAGGTAAATAGGACACATGATGAGCTGACAATTATGGATGATAAAGTTGAAGTGGTTAGGCATCATAAGTACCTAGGCACGGTTATAGATGATAAACTTAATTGGAAGAACACTAAGCAAGTCACCAGTAAATTTTACAAGAGGCTTTACTTCTCTTTTTTAAATGAAGAAATTCCATGTATGCAACAAGATCATGACACTATTTTATGAATCTGTAATTTTATCTGTGTTAACATTCAGTGCAAACGTATGGTATAACAGTCTAAATAATGTGCACAGGGACTGAAATTAAGAAACCTAATGAAACTGTAAGAAGTGCAATGATGAAGAAATTTGAATTAATTATGTCAGATAGTAGTCACCGTCTTCATAAGTATATCACGTTCGAGCTGGTCGTATTCTGTATCCACGATGGAATACTGAACGAAGTAGAAAATCTTTCCTCCCGTCAGCCATGAGGCAATTTAATTTATTGTGGAAAAGATAATCGTGCAAATGCATAAATCAAATTAGGTATGATGCTGTACAATCAATCTCCATGATTTTATCCGTTTTAACTGCTTTTTATTTCCTTGTGTTTTATCTCGATTTTTGCTTCCTTTTCATGATCTAATGTTGTTTTAATGTGTGACCGTTTTAGACAATTTTATGCGTACATTCAACCTAAATTTCAAGCTAAGTTTTTACTATGTTTGACAATAAATAAATATTGATTATTGATTATTCATATTCATTTATATTTTAAAGTTTTCAATTAATTCAACACCTGCAGTAAGTCTGAGTTTACATGTAGTTTGTTTCATGTAGTATTAATGATTACCTTCTATAAATTTTATTAATCTATACAGGGGAGTTTTTTTTTATTATATGGGCTTATGTCCGCTCAGCAACCCTTGATTGCTTTGTTTTGTTTGTTCCGTTTACTTGATTGAATTGTTTTGTGTATGTAATCCATGTTACAAGTGAAATAAATTTGATTTGATTTGATTTTCTACGCGCGACTACCGTACTCGCGCGAATAAGCGCCCAGACGATTAAAATGTTTAGCCTCTTTTAGAGGGGTGCTTATTCAAACGGGGCACTTATGAAATCAGAGTGGAAATTGATGGGGCGCTATAAAAATAGATGAAAATTGAAGGGGTGCTTATGGGAAATTGGAAAGTTCAAGGGGCACTTTTTTTTTGGTTTTGGTAAAGAAAAGGCAATCGTCGAGAGAGCATGGCTCATGACAACAATGTTGGAAGTATTTACACAACTGCAGATGAAATTAGGGTGGTGTGGTGGTGGTGGTGGTAAGCGTGTTGGCCATCAGCCAATTCAGATTAGCAGGATCATTGCAGGGTTTCTTGATTAGTTACGAGAGTGATGAGGTCAGTTTATTTTTGTTGACTGAAAAAGGCCATACAGTATTTTAACTTTTAGGTATCAAATACTGCAGTTCTAAATCCAAAAAGGGTAGCAATAAAAAAAAAAGAACGGGATTCTAAAGATACATCAAAACTGAAAACCATGTTAAACTTAATGGAGACTGATAGACCGACAGATGGACTGACCGACCGACAATGCTAAGATAGATGCGAAATAGTTGATGCTAGAAATTAAGTTGGTGATGTACTGAACTGTATGATTGAATTTTTTTAGAAAACGATGATGTCTGTGAAGTTGGTTTTTAGTTCCTAGTTCCTTATTCAAACTAAATTAAAGGGACAGTTGCAAAATATTTTTAAATGTATACTTCTAAATTATTATAGTGTTTTGGACAATTTTCTTATAGATAGAATAACACGTTATATTTTAATACCTTTGACCTCATAATATCATAATATATATAATTTCCAACCACAATTACGTGATTTAATTTGTAAATACGCCCACTGCGGCGAATAAGTAACTAGCTTCTAATTGGATAAGACAATTTTCACGTTAGGAGGGGCGCTTATTCGCGTGAGTCGGTATGCAATAGTGTAGCGATTTTGTTAAAATCTGGCTTGACTTTGAATCTCATTACTGTATCATCGTTCAGTGAGTGCGTATATTTGTAAACAGAGCCGAATATATACGGCTCTGGATGTGACTATAACAATATAATATATAATATAATGGTAGTCACAGCAAAGTTGAGAACGTACGCATATATTAAACAGGTGTAGAGTGTGTCTGCTAATGTCAGCTAACCAGTACGATGGAATAGAACTAAACAATAATCAGGATGTATTACACAATTAACAGGTACCGTTGTTCTATACACGGTTTTTATTTTAAGAAAAAAGCATTGCCATGTATTTTTATTATAACTCTATGTGTTTAGACATGTTTGTATAACATACATAGTCCTACCTATCCTGCAGCCCAGAACCTCTGTTCGCAAACAAACATGACCCATCCAATCTTTGGAATGAATTCTGATAATGACGGCTTGTATCACTGGATCAAAATAATGCGCTCGTGTGCTATCTTTGTCCCAGTTACCATCAAAAACCTATCAGTAAAAAAGTAGAATATTATAATAAGACAGTATTCAAATTAGCTTTAATATTGAGTAATATGACATTTGCTTGAGTATTGAATGCAACGCTAACGATTTAGTGTATTATTTCGAAAGTAGGCTGCCTAATTATTATTTACTTTGTTCAAGCCTTTTTATGCATTATGTCTTTTATTATCAGTACCAGAGATACACGCCGACACCGAAATAAATATCGAAAATGCAAATCTAACGTTAGGCCCTATACAGTCTCCATTGTACGGCACTCTTCACCCTCTCACTCACTCCC